TGAACGTACAATTGCATACTGGCAATTATGTGGAGGGAGATACTAGCATTTTACACATCATTATAGGATGTACTAGTTAAGCTTTGACCAACTGGCACATGGTGGGAGGGTTAGTTTCAGGGATTGAAAATTCAGGTTGCTTTTAGCACAACTGGCACTTGTTAAAGTTGGAACAGTGGTTAATGGATCTACTCAAGTCCGTTGTTAAAGGTCTGGCAACCGAGTAGCATTGACAGATGGATAGAAAGGCATGATTTCTTTCGAACAAGTAAGATCCCCCTGGTTCCGATGAGTAAGCCGAAAGTTTAAATCCATGATCATAACACTTCCCCTTGTTTACCTCAGGCGTCTGTTAAGGATGAGAGCAGGTAAATTGAGCATCCCTTTTTTTCGAACCCTGCGGTTGTAGATGGCTTTTTGTCACTTGTTTTCCGTTTACTTCCAATAATTTCTAGCATGTAAATGTCTGCCACAAGTTCAACTTTTCTTAATATTCATATTATGAAAGCGTAGGTATTTTCTTCACAATAACAAATTAATCTCATTGGTTTTTCCAGGGCGGTAGATAACATGCATAAGTTATGCACTATATCATCGTACCGCAATTCTATTGCTACGGCTTTTTACTAATAATTATTAACATATTAACCTGTTAATACCAAAACCGACTGACTGTTTATTTATTTATCATATAAATTGCATTGTATTTCAAAGATTTACATTTCAGCTTCGAAAATCAGCATTGAAGAATTTTACTCGCCGAACAATAGGCCCGATTCTACGCCGCAGCACCGCCATCCCGAAAGACTTGATCGTAAGCTAATGGTTTTGTCGAAACCATATTTTGTTTCTCTAACTCTGTTAGTGTTTTTTTGCCATTCGCTGTTTTCACAAGATGCCATGAGAAGAGAGAAGGGAGTGAAGGAGAAATGAAGAAAGATACGATGAAAGAATTAGCGAAACAATGAAGCTGAGAAGGAAGGTAGCAGGGCAAGCAGAAACACAAGCGGGAACGGAGAGAGGAAGGAAAAAAAATTAAAGATGAAAACAGCGAAGTTAGCCACCCAGTCTGTCAGCTTGTCATAAGCCTCCATTATATAAGAAATTTCTTGTTCCGTCTGTTGGTCATCATACATTCAGATATACAAGACGGTCAATCATTCCGTCACTCAGCCAACCAGCCGTGAGTTAGATACTTAGTTTTGGAGACTGTTGGGCAGAATTGCAAGTGACAGTTGTGCCACGTAAAAGCGCATGATTCAAACAACGGCTCCGCAAATTTACATACATACCATGAGAGCTATAACTATGATCATTGAAGTGTTGTGACTAGAACAGGTTCAGACGATCAGTATTTCATGTTTAAAAACGATGTAGTCTTTTTGAGTACTGTAACAGTATAGTACTACAGAGTAATATAATATTTTCTAAACAAGTATCTTTGACTCCCGTAATTCATCCTACCGTGACATCCAGTACTTGGTTATGATCGTCTTTAAAGATTAAGCAGTGAGGTTAGGCTCTGATGGCAGAGAAATCAAGTGAATGTAGCACATCACCGGGGGAGGGGGTCTGGATCGACGAGCATTCTTTCCCCCAGAGGATTTTATGAAACGATCGCAACACCGCTGTAAAACAGGTTTTTACTATAAGAAATATACATATACACAAAGTACAGCAGCTCTACTCTGCCATATCAGTATCATAAACCCAAAAAACAGAATCTAAGGCAGGTATCTTCGCAACATCGTTGTTTTTTCATACAGGTCATGATACCAAGACCACAATGTGCGTTACTCCTACCCATGGTCTTCCGTAGTTCACACGTGATTTCTGTACGTACCATTTATGTAGGACGGTGGAGAGTACTCCTGGCTTTGTTTGTTTGTATTTAATTGTCATCTGGGTGCTGTGCCTTGACTACAAGCAAAAAGGCCAAGCTGTTGTTGTTGTCTGTTTGTACTTGCGTGAAAATCAGTTTACTGCTGTATTCTGCGCGTTTCTCGTCAGAACAATTTTCACAGAACCGCATCAATACAAAGTCATTTGTTTCAGCCGTCAAGAACATAACGCCGACATTGGACACGTTTCAGGCGACAACTCCCCTTCTCTCTTTGACACAACAATCGCAGCAGAGGCAGTCGCCGCACGTCAAACGAGCCAAATGGCATTTAGGTAGATATTTTTTGTGACGGAAACGAAACAGCACAATCGACGGTCATTCATATTTTAGGAATTCGCTCACAAAGCCGTGCCGAAGACATAATGTGCGAAGTTTTTCGAGCGATGAAGTCGCTAGACTTTGTAAGCTGCTTTTTTCCGTTTTTCTTAAACAGTGGATCATCGCCATTCCAACATTCAGTTGCGAAACTAACACAGTGATCAGTAGCCTTGATGATGATAACCTCCGTCATAGACAAAAATATTAAGCGTGGCCCGGTAGAACACCCGTGTGTAAGTGACACTGACCTTCTTGTGCAGAGATAGATGAGCATCCTGCAGATAAAACATTCAGAAATCTGAGGCATGTTGCGGCATGCATCCTTGAACGTTTATAAAATTCTTTGTGGATAATAATGAACTGAAATTAATCAACTATTGAACTTTGTACCTCAAACAGCGATTCAGCTAATGACTTTTCATAATGAAATATTTAGGAGTGGAAGATCATTAATCCATATCATGTAATAGTACGAAAGAAGAGTCACCCCTCTGCGGTAATTTGTTGTGATACTTTTTACTTCCAAATTTATTCTTGACGATATTCTGTTGCAGCCCAAGATGAGCCTACAATTGTACCACGTAGAGCCACGCGGCTATCTGCTTGACTTCAAGAGTCTTACCGACGAAATCACCGAAGGTACGAAAATAAGTGCATTTGCGAATATCCACTGATTGGCACAAAGATTAAACGAACCACATAATAGATTTTGCTGATGAAGCACATAATAAGTACCGGCTCATTAACGATAGGAATACATTATTCGATAGTAAAATTAGGCAACGTGCGACTGTGCAATTTATGACTGTCAGAGTAGAGTATAGTATATTACTTACATATTAATAGTGTATGTAACTTTACGTTACACTTTATATACTGATAATACATCAAATCTTGTTACAAGATAAGTAGTACTTTGTCGTCTGTAATACGAATATGCACTGTCATTTACTAAAACTTTTTTAATAACTGAAAGCCTCGTGATTGTTCCGCGTGCTACTGGCGTGACATTTATATACCACTTTATGTTTTAGCGTCGCTCGCTGCATCTTCGCGCCATGCGTCGGTGTCTTTGCCGATGAGACCGCCGTTGGTCGCCGGCCGCGCCCAGTCTTTACCTATGCAAATGGAGATCGAAAATACCCCTCCTCCTTCGCCGACTTCGATAGCGAAGCAGTCACAGACTATGCAGTTTTTCGAGATGTGCGCAGCTCTGATTGGTTCTCTGGCGCGATGAACCAGCAAAAGCCAAATTATTATTTTACAAAAACTATTTGTACATATTTTGAGTCTTTTGCGACCGCTGTGAAATCTTTAAAAATCAGTGTCCGACTGAATCAGTGTGTTTATTTTCAAGGTTTCGCCATTACAATGTAAAGTTGTAAAATTTTACTTTCCATCAAAGCGATTAGCATCGCTGTTAAACTCGGCACTTCGTCTCACATATCTCTAAAATTATTTGCTTTAATACAGGTCACAGTATGTTCCTAACTACTGCCTGTTACTTCGACAGTAAACCGTCTTTCCTGGTCAACCTGTTGATACAGTCGTCCGATTCTCCCATGCGTCTAATGGAACCGCATATCGCGTACCTCGTCACGTCTCCGCTGCTACGGCCTGTCGTTGGGTCAATCTATATATAGACAACAGTACACATCACTGGACATCGAAAAACCATTTGTCTGAATATAACTCACCTCAACAAAATCTATCTGAATGGACGCATGGTCCCTCGCATCGATGATTCTGTTGCTTGCCGAACTGAAACAAGGTTATTAAACAAAAAGAAACAAATAATACATTCCTGTTGCAAAACGGTGCTTGGCAAGAAAGCCCCGGAAAATCTGCTTTTCACTGTTATATGCAGGCAGTGTATGACCATTTTTCATCAAATAATACGGCGCAGTCAAAAATGTACAGATTAAACATGCCCCCCGAGGAACTGCATGCGGCGTAAAAAGAATGTGTGATGAACTGAGTTAGAGATGTTATTTGGCTTCCTCCAAATGTACTTTTGATTAATTTAAACATTTTTAATCCTCAGTTAATTAGCCGATAGAACAAGATATGACTCCTTACCAGCGACGTGGAATATAGAGGTCAACGAACTCTCCGGCGTCGTTTTGCATGTTGAAATTCCTGCTCTAAAAATGAAAGTCATGTAGAAAAACGTCAACGCAGATACAGGGGAAATGTTATTCAGCAATACAACGTTCCGACCGAAATCTGGAATCTGCGATAAAAAAATATACGCCCATTAATTAAGCTGCAACAGATTTACCGCCCTTACATCATGTATTGTATTTTACGCAAAAACTGCTGTTTCTTGATAGCAAACCACTTGACTGAAGGGAATAGACTTCTAAAGATAAATCGAAGATGGAAAAGCAGTGCGCAGTGGTCAGTATTTGCCTTAGAGATGCCAGGAATAAACCCACGCCTGGTGCAAATTACCACTTATTAACAGCCAATTTTCTTGAGCAAGGAATTCACTATAGTATAAGCAGTCGAAACATGGGTAGCGGGACGCTGAACTGCCAACAGCGACACCGCGGTGCCTTGGCCGCGATCGTGCCCAAGTTTGAGATATGGATATGCAATCTGATGCGTGCGCTTTTAGGCTACAATTGGCCTTTACTCACCTGCTAGCTGATTAAAATTTAGCACGACGTGTAAACGTATATTTAAAAAATTTACGGCAAACGATCTACTAATCTACATATCGAGAATAGCACAACAGTATCTGTATATAAATATGAAAAACATTGAGTAACCTACAAAAAAGCCTTCCACGTCTATAGGACAGGTCTTTTCAGTGAAGTATTCTACTGACAAATGCATACGCAAAGAACACAAGACATTGTTCACGTTCTTACATTTATTAAGAAAACAGCAAGATGACTGTCGCTTATTCATAATATTAAAGCAAGAGAATGAAAAGTGGCAGGTTGCAGTACTTCATGGAGAAACAATGAAGACACCATCCGTCCTTTGTTTATCCACAGGGCATACAAATACCGACCCATATTACAAATCGTAAAGTAGGATTAAGTTATCTCGGATTTAAGACGTCTTAGGCGTAGACACAACCGGATGGATAAACGCAATCATGTACGGAAAATGCAGACCCAAAATTCTCAGTTCAATTTCCAGTCTTACATTTACTGGCAGCAGACACGCTCGAACAAAACATAATGCGTAGAAGAACTCTTTACGGATAAGGAGCAGATGAGTTAGCGTGAAGAAACGAATTTTGTCACAACGGTAAAAGACACTAAAGATACAGCAGGAGTATGAAATGACCGATCTCGGCAACTGAGCCACCTCGATTTCAGTACTAAAAATGACGTAAGCAACAACAATATATGCAAAAAAAGTGATAGGTTCCAACTAAACGAACATACAACTTCTAAAACAACCGTCTAATGGCACCAAATGTTTGTGCACGTTGCCTACAGTAAATTTCTCATATTATAAAGATCATCAGGTACGAATAATTATCTTCATAGTAACAGGTTCCTTTATTCCGGTAGAGACAGTGCAGTTGTTGGTTCGAACTGTGGCGGCGTTTGCACCTCAGGTTAAAATTTAGAGCAGATTGCTGTCTGTTGACGTATAAGTTTTTTCTTATTAATGATGTCAAATGGAATTATAATACTGATATTCTCAAGTTGCCATTTTAGGAATAGGTTACATGGCGGAAGCTGGGGTTTTACTTCACGTGGCTCTCGATTTAATACATTTTAATGGTCTTGTTTGCCCTCAGCTCCAACATATGGACCTTTTCAGTCGAGTGATATATTTTTTGGAAACGATGTGATGATGCACAAAATATGGATGGATTTGTGGTTGCTGATGCCTCGTACTTTGATCCATCTCCGTTTTTTAGTGTGTCAGTTTTTCCCGTTATGTGGACTGTGATGTCAGGAATATTTTGTGTATTTTGTGTATATTCGATCTCATTGAGCTACAACTTTGGGATTAAAACACTAGTATTATTTGGCAGCCGTGCGGAGTAAACTCTGAAGATTTTGCCGACGAAAAATTTGACAGTGATAGCGAATCAGCAGAGTGTATTCTATATTTAGCCCAAAACATTAACTGAAATGTAAAACCGGTTTACTTTATCGCATGTCTTCTTGACGCCTCGATTATAATTCTTTTTTTCTGGTTGGGTAACTTTTGTTGATTTAGAGCTGTTCTCCTAGTTGTTTTATTACACATGTCCTAACCATTTAAGTTTATTCCTGTTTTTGAAATAGACTTATCGTTCATGTTAGATCTTAACGCAAATTATGTATCATCTGCGCTTCTCAATGGTCCGTTGATATGCCTAACGCAAACTGTTGTTTTGCTGGTTAACATGGCATGGTTTTTGGCACTGGTGCTGCTCTTAGAAGCTTGTTGATCCGTTTCAGGAGATATTTTTTGGCACTACTCAGAATCTCTAAACGTCACATTAGATTTTGGCAGAAGCAGTGCATTACTCGTTACTGATCTACCACTTCACAAACAGAAATCCGTAGTGCTCCTGGAGAATTCAATTCCTATGTTTCGATTGATCATAACTATCCTTCCCTTTTTATAAAATTGAGTTGATCTGCTCGATTATAGGAAGGAGTTTCTCTTAGACACCATTATGAAAGATATATGGCTTTGCTGAAAAATAATGAACCCTGTGATTTTATTCATGCAGATATACTCGTTGTATAATAATTTGCTGACTTGTTCTAGTAGCAAGATCAGTGGTGTCTTCTTTTGAGTATCTTGACTGCTGTGCTCTTAACTATAGCGGCGGTTCCTGGATAGTAACCAAAACCACGTGGTACCGCACATTGTTTGGGGGGGGCAGTGCTGTGGATTACAGAGTTATTTTGCATGCTGATAGACTGACCTTTCTCCCATTTTTCGACCTAAGGTAGATCGATAACTCATCTCGTTATGTTGATGAGTTTTAGTTTGTTCACTGTCATTTTCACGAAGCTGCATGAAAGAAGCAACGAGTCGATAACACCGTATGAACTAGGGTACTGAAGTAACGTATATTAAAGAATTTGGTCCATATTTTAATCTGTGATCAAGATTAAAAGGCGAGACAGAGGGGGACACAGTCTGTGCCTCTCTTTGCTTCTAAACCACCTCGTAAATGCAGCCTTCCTCTTCCTGATAGCCAGTTGAACCTCTTATATCTACGAAAAAGTTCATTTCTGATCTCCAGGCAAGAGGCCAGTCCGTTTTAAACCACAGTATTCAGCTCCGGCCCCGAGTCCGCCGCTCTTAAAGAGCTTGCACTCGATTTCCACATCAGCGTTTATCACTGGGATCATTTGAAACCGGCGTAATGTTGTTTGCAAGTATTGCCCTCGTATCTGCAGGTGGTAATGTTTCCCATTTGATTCTCTGGTTGCTTCTACCGCAAAGTCTTCGCATGGTACTCCATCGTTTACATCGGAGGTTTTCACAGTTCTCCACCTCTCTAGTCGAATATCTGTTCCAGGGCGTCAGATTGCGATTATCAGTTCGATCATTGACTTTCTGCACATCTTTTCTGTACCCAGTTTACTTATGCATGCTTCGACGCTCAACGGCTTTATAACAGACAGTTCGTTGTATGCTCAGTACCGCAACAACTTCATGCCGTTATTGTTGATGTCGCTACGACGTTCATTCCAATCATGTCTTTCCACCCTTAAATGGCTCCTACTACATGCGCATTTAAATGACCAGTTTCGATGTTGGCTTAGTGGTAACATTGTTCAGAGCACCTTCTACTTCCTTCAGTGAGGACTCGTGTTCTCCCTCTTAATTGAGTATATAGACTTGTAACAAGGGTAAAGCTTTAACCGGGCGACTGCCACTCCTCCGCTGACAATATACAATATATACTGAAAATACACAGAAATATTTGACTTTTAGCCGAGACTGGTAATGTGGTTTCTGCAGCACTGATCTATGACCTCACCTACATCAAGGTCATGACACAATCTTAAATATGCCGGCGACAGTGCTGATGCTAACCTACCGATTGGCTTAGTAATACTTCAGTTAAACAGCATCATTAACGTATTGAACTGAATCGCAAACCACTTTCAGCCCATACCCATATGGACGATTTTCCACTCTGGACAACAATATATTCATGTGCAGCCAATGCTGAATGCTTTGTTAATGAAATCGAGCGGTGCGCAAGTTTTAGTATTTTGCGTAACAAGTCTATTCGTATGTTTTTTTTTTCATGATGAATTTCAATTCTTTGGATGAAACAGGTTGCACACACGAATAGTGTTATTTTCATGGCAGATCAATCCTCTGTCAGGTATTCACTATGCAGTATGTATCAGGTATTCATTAAATCAGAGTTTTGACGGTGCCATCTGTTGTGTAGAGATATTACAAAACAGAGTTAACAGAACAGTGCCTTATAGAACATCAGCATTATTTGCTAGTGCTTCAGACAACTGCTTCCCATTCAGATTAGTTTCACAGATAGAAGACGAAAGAATTTACCCGATAATCTTTAGAGTTGCATCTTTTGTTTATCTTCTGTTTGTTTGTTTATTAATGTAGAATATAGTTCATTAGTCTGCGCAGATTCAAATTTATTTGCGACTGCTTTTAGTAATAATTTTAATTTTCTGTTGCAGTGTATGTGAACGCTGCTATCGAATCGAATGCCCAGACGCTGGCGGGGCGAAAATTCTAAGGCGGCTGAGGCTCGGGCTCGGCAGCAAGAAATGAAAGCGGTATCATAGCTATGTTTGTAATTCGAATCAGTTCTCAGTGTACTTTGTTTAGGCGTTGATTGTCATAATATAAAAAACAACGTCAAATACAGAATTTAATGGTGAGGCGCTGATCTCCATTTCCAAGCTGTCAGCCAGGAGTGCCTTATTTTAAGATCAGAGTCAACAGCAGCTATATGACATACACATGCAGTCTCCTGTTTCATTCCCACAGAATTATGTTAATTTATCAACCTCAGAAGGATGGAAATCAGGTGATTCCGACCGGACTTCAATCCCGGGACCTCTCGGTTCCGAGTTGATGCTCTGTTGGCTGAGTAATCCCGTTCTGAAGCGAGGGATGTAAGTCGATCTCTTGGGCACTATGCCATTACGCCACGTTTAGACAGCTTCCAACAATGCTGTATGCGAAGTGTCTTCCAAGTGCTGTGGTATCACAGACTTATGTGCGAGCAAGTCCTGGGGACCACTGATCAGCGAAAACTCAGATGAACTCAAGGACCGGTGCCTGACCGAGTTTGATAAAACGGCCCAAAAGAGAAAGGAAACATACTCGAAACTTTTCTCGCTTGGGAACCGTACTATGACCACAGGCACACTGGGGGACAATAAGTGGAAAAATCTTGTTGAGGCAAACCTGCTTTCAGAAAAAATATGACCTTTGAGGCAGTAGTGAACGTTCCTTAATATCAATCTTAAATACCATTTCTAAGGGTCATAATCATAATTCTTTATTTCTCTGCTGTATAAGCTATGTTGACCTTAGATGACGATGGCAGAATAAGAACTATGGACGGAAAAAGACCAATATCAGGACGCTATTGAGAATCATGATGATATAAATATGCGGAAGCAGCGTCACTTAGCATGTCATGACTGTCAAAGTAACGTGGAAAAAGCAATTTTAAAATTTTTTTATGTCATCCATCAAGCATCGTTTGTATTTTTCAGTCGTTTTATCAGTATGTTGTGACTCCGCTTAGAAAGTAGACGACGTGGTGAAATCTTTATCACTTTCTTTTGGGATTAATTCTTTCTGTTCCCCGGCCCTTCTTTCTAAGTTGGTGATTAGAGTGACTTCTTAGAAATGAAGGGCGAAAGAAATAAGCTCCACTCCCCCGAATGTCATTGCCTCCTACCCAGCCGTTTCAGGCAAAATTCATAAGGGTTAACTATTCCTTACTTGTCATGCTAACTCTTATTTTGAGTCTTTCGCGAACGATGTAAAATTGAATTATTAAAAACGACCTTTTGTCCATGTTTTCCAAATTTGATATTATTTTGTTAGCTGTAGGATTTATCAAGAAAGTGCAAACGCCAGTTTATGTTTGAGGTAAAATGATGTTTCGTTATGTTTTTTGGCGAAAGAATATCGCAAATGACCCCAACTTCTTTCAGTCGTAGTTTCTGTCTTTGTAGTCAGAAACCATTTTTAGGGTTCATGGCAGATGTTTACGGCAGCGGTAGCTATTGTAAAGAATATACGCCAGTGCAGTCTGAGAAGCTCAACAGCTCTGTCACGAGTTTTTTTTAACCTTTTTTCTTGCTGTTGACATCGTTTCGCATCATCAATAAACTTTGTATTTACATTAAAGAAAGAAAATGAAGCGAAGAAACAGCAAGAGTTGGAGCAGTACTGGCAGGACGATGACAAGCATGTGCTGAAGAAGCTGCAACGAAGAGTTAGGCGTATATGTTAATTTGTATATAATTTTTTCATTTGCTTTCTTAGGAGGAACGAGAGCGCAAAAAGCAAATTTTGCAAGAACGAAAAATGGCCACCCAACAGCTGCTTGAGAAGGAGGAGAAGGAACTGGCTGCCTTGAACAGGGGCTTCTCTACCGCTGTTAAAAAGACACGTGCTGCCATCGAGGAGGAGCGGCAAAAGGAAATGCTGGAGCGACAGAAGCTAGAGGAGCGCAATCGTCGTAAGTTCTACGTAGCTGTCATCATTAACTTTACGCGTTAAAATTTTTCAAGTCAAAATGTTGCACGTAATTGTTCCGGAGGAAGAAATTGAGGAAAATGTGAACCGCCTGCAGATCGATGGCGAAGAGGCTCGAACCGTCGAAGAGGCTATACAGGTTTTGAGGTATGTTGATGATCAACCGTGTTTTCCTTTGATTTGTTAGATTTCCTTTGAATTTTTTGCATGTTCATTTGAGCGTTAAAGTTACACCTTTTGCTGGTGCAGTAGGCATCTTGGAATCGTGATGCAGAGAGTTTTACGTATCGCCTTCGTAGCCAACAAGTAGTCGCTTGGTTCGAACCGGAATTCACTGCCTAAGGCACCATCTGCTCAGTTTTGGATATTTAGGGCATCATTTAACTGTCAGTTATCACGTTTTTTGCTACTCTTTTCTTCTGTAGTTTTAGCCATGAATGATCTAAATAACAGCACAACAGAAACGATTATTTAAACAGGTCACGACTCGGCAGTATTATACCGGCCTGTAGTGTTTTTGAACATCTGAAATCATTTATCACATTATATCTGAAGCAGTACCTGGCCAACAACAATGATATTTTAATATCTGATACTTGTAATGAACTTTTACAAAAAGTCAGAAACTAAATAATGTGACTATGTACGAAGTATATTTCCAGACATTTTTTTGATGATAAGCGAAGGACTGACTCTTGAAGCACTCTTGATGACGAGTTGAATAATGTTCTAGCTTATAAGATGATGGAAATATATAGTCATAGCTTGTTTCGTTGCTGCCTTCTGCTCCATTTCCACTCCCAAAGCAAGTGAGAGGAAAATGGGCAATGTAGCATGTCATGAAATCCAATTTTAGAGTTATGCTTTTAACACCTTATTGTTTTATAATTGGGCTAACATGAAGTTTAGTGACTAAACCAACTTTAACGCGGTGTT